AAAAAAATTACAAAATACATACAGATTCTCAAGCGTCAATACAGCAAGTACAACCCGAATAAACCAATCAGCGTACAGGTTACCAGCATCCCTCAACATACATTGGTAGAAGCCAGCTAACTGAGTATTAACAATGAGTATTTTGCATTACCGATAGATTCCCAATCAAAGGATTCGAAGGTTAACTTATGAACAATTGGATACCATTTACCAGTAGGATTCAACAGTTCGCATTCATTTTGATCATTCGTGTTAAAAATCGAAACAGTCTCAAATAAAAAATATTCCCATATTTTAGCTAGCCATAAATTAATTGTTGGAGGACATTTATCTTTCCATTTCCTGGCAATGCTGTTTTTCGCGGCCGTAAGAAGTACGTTTATCACTTTTCTCTGAGTATTGGGAATATCACAGTCCGGCCAAAGATTTAATAACATCAGTCGGGGATCTAAGGGAACGTCACAACCAGTAAGAGACAAAATTCGAGATCGAACTTGAGACCAAAAATTGGAGATAAATCTACACGTCCACCACGCGTGATAGAAAGTCGCCTTTTCCCCACAGAGTTTCCAACACAGAGGGGAAACCGAAGCAGACATGTGTGAGAGTTTAACCGGAGTCAGATACCAGCGGGACAGTACCTTGAAAGAGGTTTCAAGGATTTCTGACGATTTAGATAGGGTAATATGTGCTTTCCAAATAGAGGACCATTGTTCGCCAGTTAACTGAAGATCAAAGTCCGCACACCAAGCTTTTTGGTAACTGGGAGAAGCATCTATATTCGTAGCGTAAAGAATAATGTAAATTCTAGAAATAAGACCCCGCTTTTTGAGGTCGACCGACAGGATTTTTTCAAAACCTGTTAGAGGGGATTTGATAGCGTTGCCAAAAGCAGAGACTTCCAACGAGTTTCGTAATTGAAAATATTCAAACCAAGGAATGGAGGTCTTGAATTTATTTTCAATGTCGAGTTTAGTCATTAGATTGCATTTACTAATTATATCAATAATTCTAACAATGCCTTTCTCTCTCTAGGTGGAAAAAGAGTGAGGATGGAAAGCCGGTGAGAAAGCTTTTTGACCAGTGAATGTGTATAGAGGTGAGTATTTGGATACCAACAATTTTTTGAGTCGAAACCAATTTTTTTTTTTGCAAATATATTTATTAGGGTTTTATCATTTAAGCCTGTATCATACATATATAACCACAAGACTACATACAAATCATCTAAATTCATTTTCCTTTTTGAACTACACAGGATCCATCAATCAAACAATCACATTAACCTAGATATTTTTCTTAATCTTGTTCTCATTCTTATTATTTAATCCATATTAAATACCAAGTATATCTTTATTCTGTCTTGGAGTTTCCCATAGTACCTCACATAAACTGCCAGTTCCTATTGGCAATACAAGACACTCATGACAACTTATTTGACTTCTCCTACTAAAATACCCACTTCCCTTTACCCTTTAGTAGTCCATTATCTTATTTTCCAATATGAATACAGGGCTTGATAACATATTTATTTTCTTTTTTATCTATTAGTTTTCAATAACTCTTCATATTCTATATATTAAATAAACTTTCCTCTAGGCTTTCTATACCGTTTTAACTACCAGGTTGACCCATTTATTTTTAAACTTATATTTTCCCTATATCTATATCCCCCGCCTTCCAGGTTGCTGCCAAGTCTTCCACCAATCTTTATTTGACCCCAAGTTCATTTCCATCAAAGTAATACCCTGTTATATCATGCATAATCCTCTTACTACTAACTTTTCTCATACTACCATACATCTTTAGATACATATAAATTTACGTATACATTATCCATTTAACTTTTATCAAAAACTTTAAATTTTACTCCTTTAGTTAACTAATTTTTACCCATTCCATAATTCATTTTTGTTATTATTATTAATCATTAATCACTCTTTTAACAATTAAGCTCACAAATTACATGTAAACGTGTAAAATAATATGCACATTTATGTATATTCATAACGTCAGTCATTCCATTTAATCAGGTACAATGTATAGATCTTTCATTCCATCCTTCTATATAATTTGTTCCTTCTCTTAAACATCAGTAATCTATTTTTCTGTTTCAGCATATCCAAATGTCTTTTTTCTTTGTGCTTTTCTTGGTTCCCAAACTTCTCCTTGTTCTTTTTCAGCCATTCTATTTCCCTTCTTTTCCTATTCTCTTTAAATTTCCAAGCCCGTCTTTCCCATCTTTTAATCTTTCCATCTCTTTCTCTCTCTCTCTCGTTCCTCTGCCTCTGTTTATTATACTTTAATAATCCTGGTTTAACATTTCTCGATTTTTCTTTAAGTCTCTTTTCAGCTCTTTCACTTGACAGTCCTTCCTTAATTTGTACACACCCCAGTCTTTCCTCTTTAAGGTCAACACAGTTCTCATTTTGTAAGCCTTCTAGCGCTCCTTTTACGGTGGGATGTTTCTCTTCCTCTGCCTTTCGAGTTCCTACCTGGATGTTATCCAATTTTTCTCCTAATTTCTTACATGCCTCTTTACATTCTTTCTGGACCACATATCTCAAAATACTTAAAAGCTGTCCAATAGTCAATTCTCCCACCTCAGCGTTTTCGTCATATTCCTGCTCCGTTTCCGTTTCCTCCGCCATTTTCATTAAGCTCTCTTATTTCATCACTCTTATTTCGTTACTATAATCCTTTAGTCTCTCTTTGCCAACACCACCGTCTGTTACACAAAAAGCACCAACAACTGCAGCTTTTCTTCCCCTCTCCGATAGCAACGGCAAAACTTACGTCCCTTATTTTTCCCAGCCGTTGTCCTTCTCGTTTTGGCCCTTTTCAGTTTGGGGATTTCTTATGAGACTCCAACATCAGGTTACTCCGACTTTCCTTCTTATTCCTGTGAAGCTATTTGGTAATTTCTTGCATCTTCTTTTACTTAAAAAGAAATCCGGAAGGCTGCGGCTAATCCGAACATGGCAGCCATGCTCTTCACTTTCATCCGGTCCTGTCTCGGGGCTGTTTCTGGTCACCCCCCTGCTTGCCGAGTGAGCCCCCCCCAAAAAAGACGCCCCTTACTCCAGCCCTCACTCCGAGAGGGCTGGCCATGCTCCCCCGAAGTTCAGGGGGCTTGGAAGAAGCCGGTGAAAGTTCGGGCGAGACAGAGCAAGCTGCCCTCTGCCCGTCGCCGTGCTGCGCCGCACCGGCGCAGAACGTTTCGAGTCGAAACCAAATTTTGAGGGTATGGGCTAAAAAGGGGTTACAGACAGATTTAATCATTTTGCTTAACGTCAACTTGTTGTGGTGTCTGAATGCATACTTTGAGTAAAATAGAAGCGGTTTTGTTATCCAGAAAGAAAATGCCTTGGGATGCAGTGATTATGTATTCAAACCATTTCCCACCACAAGCAACATATCAGCAGGTGAGCACTCTGTATGTTCTACCTTGACTGTAATATGGGCACAGATAACTTCTTGAACACACCACATTTTGTATATTTTGCTGTGGATGTGCTGTTGTACAAACTGTTTCCTGTATATTTCTAAGCACAGTAAGCCATGGCAACACCTCCTATCCCAGCTGTCATATTTCCCAATGGATATGAAAACATTACACTTTTATTCATTTTAAAAAAGTGCAGGGAAGTGAAGTAACATAAACAGTTAATTTCCCAAATAACATTTGCACAAGGGAAGCTATTAATACCTTGTGCATTGTGGGATGTTACAATTTTTAACTTAACTGCCCTAAGCTTGAGCTATAAACAAAAAGTTTCAATTGCGATTTTAAATGAGAAATAGAAAGGAACTATTCTTAGCATCAAATATGCATTCTACTTGGTGTACTTTTAAAATTCCAGTGTATAGACAGGTGCAGGACATAATAAAACAGGAGTCCAGTGCAAGGGCATAGCCAGGATTTTTAAAGTCAGAGGGCATTTTAAAAAGTGGGGGGGGGACATGATAGGCGTGGAGGGAGCTGCACTGCTGCCACCACTGTAGCAGCCATCACCACACCACAATTCACAATGTTAGACAAAAACCAGGAGATGCGGGGTGGGGGGTGGGGTTTGCTGGATTGACCCCCCCCCTCCGCTGCTGCCATCACCACTTTGCTTCTTTCCTGTGCTCCATCCGGTGGCATCCTGTCCAGCAGGTGGGAATGGAGGGTAGGGCTGGCTGGTGAGGTTGTGGGGTGAGGGCTGGGCTGGGATTCCATCAGGCAGGCTTGGCTCCAGTAGGCAGGCTCGGTGAGGGCAATGGTGCCACAAAAAATAAAATAAGGATTGGGGGGGCTGGATGGGACGTCGTGGGGCCTTGGCAGTAAGTTGGGAGGGACCCCACTGTAACTACAGGCCTGAATGTGGGGTATGTAGCACACATTCAGCTGTACATGTGTTGTGTGTGAATTACTCAATGCACCTATTTTAAAAAATCAAGTGTACCTTGTACATGGATTGTACATGTGTTTACTGTAACTTGTGTGCTCACATGTAACATATGTTCACTTTGGAATTGAAACCAGGGACCACAACTTGGATAAAGTGGCATCTTAAAGGCTAATAAAATTCACTCAATTCATCTGATGCAAGGCACGAAACACCCAACATAAGCATCGTTTGTATTAAAAACGTCTCCCCTTTAGTGCCATAAGATCGCTTTTTCCCAAACAGTTTTAATCCTGAGCCATGAATTGTTTGTTACCCAAAGTTCCCAAAGGAGTCTGCAATCCACTGACCACGGCGGGACGTATCCCCGACCAAACATTGCATGGGCGACTGGACTGTAGACTGGTTTAAAGCTTCAGTCGACGCGGATGCTGTCAGGGGTGGGAGATCCGTTTAGTGTGGACCGAGGGCCGCCCGCACTGTGCTCCACACAGCCTGGCCGGGGACTTTTCCCTCAGGCCCCGCCTGCCTATTGTGGCGTAGGCCCGCCGCTTCCAGAAGTCCCGCCGCCGCCGCCGCCGCCTGTGGCCTGGCACGGGTAACGGCAGGTGGCTGGAGGAGAGGAGCAGCAGCGGAGAGGAGGCGCCAGGGCCGCGGTTGCTAAGCCCGAACGGCGCCGGTGGCGGAGGATGGCGACGGGAGACTCGGAGCGGATTCGCTACTGCGCGCGCTTCTCGTACTTGTGCCTCAAGTTCAGCCTCATCACCTACTCCACCGTGTTTTGGGTGAGAGCGGGCGGGGCGCGGAGCGCGAAAGGGCGGTGGTTGGCCCCCCGGCGAGGCGACCCGCCTGCCTCGTCACCAGCGTGGGCTGTGAGCCCCCGTCGGGACTCCCTCCTCTCCTGGAGGGCCACTGTGGTAGGCGACGTGGTGCTCGTGCCGCGGTCCGTTGCTGAACAACCTGTTAGTAGCGGGGGCCCCGGGGGCGGGGGGGGAGCTTTTGGACGGGGAAGGCGCCGCGGATGGTTGGCACTCCGCCTCTGGTTTCTTAGGAAAGGTGTTCCAGGTTTCAGCTGCACGCTTACTCATACACGGTAGTAGTAGTCCATTTTACCGCAAACTTCAGGGAAGGGAAAAACAAACCAACCCAGCAGAACTTGATACGGTTGGTTTTTGTGTTTGTTTTTTTTAAAAAAAGACTGCTGTAATGCTTTGCTTAAAACGAAATTAATTTCGGTTTGCAGATTTGGTAAAACAGCAGCTCTGGCTGTTGTGGGATCAAGCAGCCCGGACAGTGCCTGCCTTGAGAGTGTATAGTAATTTCTGCCTGCTCCTGGGCACAAGCAGGACGGAAGCAAATGTTAATAGGCAGTTAAAGTTATAATTTGGCCTGGTGTCCCAATTGAGGAATAAAATCCTCAAAATCGTGGTTTGGACAAGTACTGCAAGTTGGTTTTGAACTGTGGTTTGAAGGGAGAGTGTTAACCATATATTCCTAATTTGGATATTGTAGCGATGGTTAAAGGGAGGAATCCATGTGTGGGAAGGGAGAGGGAGTCTGTAAGAGGGACTATAGTCAAACTCCTGCTGTTCTTGTTTTACAATGTGCTTTCTCTTGTAAACTGAACTCAGATGTAATGCCAGGTCATGGTTGTCAATTGCTGGTGGACTGCTAGTGGCTGCCGGTAATTGGGATTGTTGCAAACAGCGCTGCCCAGGGTAGATTTTGGTTTGATCCAGCAAGTGACTTCTTGTGTTCATGAGAAAGAAGGCATACTTGCACTAACACTGCTTGTTGCACCTTAACTCTTGAAGGGATCTTCAGTAGGCACATTTGCTTTGTACATTTAAAACACATCCGTAGTCTCCTGAGAATGTAGAAAAAGCACAATTCAACACTGAAGATATCTCTGCTTATTTTAAAGGGAAGGAGTATTTTCTATAAATGTAGTTTCCAGTCGCAACCATGGGGTCATGAAGAATCAGACTCGATTGTGCAACTGAACAATAACAAAGTTTCCAATAAGAATCATCAGATTTTTTTTTAAAAAACATTATTTTAAGTATCCTGTTCATACTTGTAGGAGTTCCAAGTGACATATTTTTATCTGCATTTTACCTGTTAGATTTTTATTCCACCTCTCTTGAGAGGAGCTTAGGGGAGCATATTATGGTTCTTTTCACCTCAGAACTGTCAGAACCCACAGCCAACAACGGAGTACACGCTTTCAGGAAAGGTTATACTTTTATTGAAGAGCTATAGATGCATTAACATAGTCACTGTTAAGAATGGCAGTTGTCCCTTGGACATAATAAGATATAGGGCATTCGTATGCCCCCCCCCCCCACTGCGCTGGCCAATTAGGCACCCTCCCGTGCGCGGGCTAAAGCCAGCAAACTGTTTCTAGGCGAAGCTGGGAACTGTCCGGCTCCCACGGCTGCCTGGAAAGGCAGACAACACCCCCCCTACCTGTACATCGTTAGAGATAAGCGTTTTGGTGCATAGCATAGACAGGAATGCGAAAGCAATTTTCACAGACTCTGTCTGAGCATCCAACCCCCATTGCAGCATAGCTGACAAGAACAAGATCATGTAGTAAACACTAGTTCTTGTAAGGTGGAGAAAGTGTCTGCTCCAAGATCATGTAGTAAACACTAGTTCTTGTCAGCCACACTCCAACAAATACACTGCAGTGGTTCTCAATATACATGCCTCCTTATCCTTACAACAATCCCGTAAAGTAGGTTCTTCTGAGAGATGAGGACTGGCCCAAGTTCCCAGTGAATGTCATGGCAGAATGAGGAATCGCTAGAAGTTACACTTTGTCTTTAGGGTGTAGTTTGTGGTTTTTACTGAGCGTTAATGAACTGGTTTGGCAGTGAGTAAGCTGTACAGACTGAAATGTTAGGTATAATTGCACTGTAAAAAAATTGCCATGTAATTGAAGAGGTCATTAGGGTTGTGGAAACAACCTTTTCTTGAGTCATCAGGTAACTCAAATAATTCTTGGATTTGCCAGTGAGATTATTTTGCAAGAATAGCTAACTTGTATTTCAAATGTAATGATTTTCTGTTGGCTCGTAAGAACAGTATGTAAGACTTCAGACCAATGTTCCCTCTAAGCTATGGAGTCCTGTGAGCAAAAATTCTACTTTGTGAGCTACTTGCATTTAAGTTGTGAGCGAGCGATTTGGCTATTGCATAAATTAGTTTGCTCTGGAGCCACTTTTCCTGAGCCAAGACAAAAATGTGTGAGCCGGAGGCTAAAAAACTGTGAGCTAGCTCACACTAACTCAGCTTAGAGGGAACACTGCTTCAGACCACATTTAGATCCCACACTGGCATATGTTTCTCAGCTGCTGTGGTCATCAGTCCTTTAATGTCACTGAGTAAGATCCTGCATACAGAAATCTCTGATGCCTGCACACTGAAATCAAGCTAAAATAATTTGGATTTCACTATCTGCATGCAAGTCAAAGCATCATAAGACCTTTGGGGAAATCCATCTGTCCTTTTCCATGTTGAAACAATACACTTTATGTACCAACCCCATAGCTAAATTGTCTGCACAGCAGAGGTGCTATTACAGTGATGGTTAGCTTTAAGCCCTTGAGAAATGCTGAAGTCAAGGAGAACTCATTGGGCTCTTTTTTGGGTTACCACGGGAGTATGTTAAGAGGTGGTCTAACATATGACTCCTTGCTAAAAATTGAGGAAATAGAGTCACCTGCAATGCATGTTAATTTCAGGGTGGAATTGTGACCTGTTTTGACAAATTAGGAAATGCCTTGTTTTTTTCTAGTGCTGCTGTAGGGCTGGAGTTATCTGAGGTAGTGTGCTTCTTTATACTTACTGGAGGATTCAGGATCACTCCCTGTTGCTGCAGAATTATTGGGATCTCTGCACATCAGTCTTTAATTCTGAAATCGTCAGAAGGGATTGTGCATTGTAAATCAATACAGCTAGATGCTGAATCTTAATTTAAACTTGGAATAACAAAAGTATATAAGACAGCATCTAAAAGTTTAATCAGACTCCAATCCCCCCCGTACTTGTAATCCCACTGAGTAAATTGGGTGTTGCTCGCAGTAAAGTGATCCAGAATACACCAGTGCACTGAGGAAAGGCTAGGGAATGAAAAGAAAGGAAAGGAGTGTGTGAATGTGGCTGTATGTATTGCCACAGACAAAACTTCACCATATCTTCCCTTTCCTTCTGCTTGCCATCATTTTTCATGCACCAAGAAATCTGAATTTTCAGTTGTTGTTTTTTTTGCCATCAAATCACAGCTGACCTATGGCAACCCCATAGGATTTTTTTTAACTGCCCCCAAAGAGGCAGAATTTTATTAAAGTTTTTTCACATACATTAAACACACAAAAACATATAAAATACAAACAAACACACGTACACATACATACATGGGGTATATTTTCTCGCTTTTTATCAAGCGTTAATGTTAGCGCCTATTCCACATTAATGATTATTTCTTGTGTCCTGTATAAGTAACGATTAATTCCTTACTACATAAAACATGTATATTCTTCATTTTATCTACCAATGTTCTGTCCCTAAAAATTTACCTACATCTGCTTACCATACCAGTTATAAGAGTCCAAGTATTCTGGATTGTTGATTCTGTTGCACCTCTTATCAATAAAGTCAATTTATCCATTTCGGCCGCCTCCAGTATTTTGTTTATAAGTTCTCGTTTTGATGGTGCCTCCGTTAGTTTCCAGTATTTTGCATAAAGTATTCTGGCCGCTGTAGTTATGAAAACAATTAAATAGCGATCTTCTTTGTTGGAGTGTTCAGGTAAAATGTTTAATAACAAAGCCTCTGGTGTAAATGGCACCCCTGTACCTAATATTTTTTGTAAAATTTCATGTACCATCGCCCAATATCTCTTAGCTCTTTTACAGAGCCACCACATATGGTAAAACATACCAGTCTTATTTTCACATTTCCAACACTTATTAGAACATTTTGAATCAATTTTAGCTAATCTTTCAGGTGTTACATACCATCTATGAACCCCATAGGATTTTCAAGCAAGAGATGTTCAGAGGTGATTTGCCATTGCCTGCCTCTGTGTCACAAACCCTGGTATTCCTTGTAGGTCTTCCATCCAAATGTTAGCCAGGACTGACCCTGCTTAACTTGCAAGATCTGATGAGATCAGGCTAGCCTAGGCTATCCACATCGGGTTGAACTTACAGTACTATACCATAAATATACTTGAAAGCAGAATTTAATTAATTCCAAGGGCATATGATCAAGCTAGCAGATATATTTTTCTTCCAATTTTATCTGTCCAATGCCTTTACAGTTACATGAAAAATTCCATCATCTTCTTGACTTCCACTTCTTAACGGACAGCCTATTGCTAATGAATTTTGTTAAAAGTGCTCATAAACTACTGATAGTTGAACTACCATGAGAGCAAACATTTCATTGTTATGCATACTAACTTCGGGAACCCTGCAGGGTATTTCCAGTTTTTGTTAATATATTTCTTCCTGAACTGAGAGAGAAATGTTATCAGTCTGCAGTACTTGAACTGGCAAAAATCTCTAAGGTCCTTTCACACGGGCTATTTGGCTTCTGAAGGCAAATGGAAAAGTTTCACACTTTTAAAGAATAAAATGGTGTTCTGCTTTAATTTTCCATTTTAAGCTTCAGTCTGCATTTTTCAAACCCTGTTTTGCTCTGTTTGTTGCTGTTGTTCCTGCACTTTTCATTTTTTTAAAAAATCTTCATAAGCCGAAGTGAGTTTAAAGAGCCC